TCACCTGAAGACGGCTGCTTGCGTTGTAGCCGAAACGTCGTGAGAATTATTTTATTTTGTTATGTTTTATTTTTATTATTTTATTACTTCCCTTCTACGTGACTTTACCGAAAGAACCAAGAAGATGAATCCCTGCAGTCACGAAAGCTTTAAATCGAAATCATTTATTTTTTATTTTTACTTTATTTTATTTTTTCACCTACGTGACTTTACCGAAAGAAAAATAATATAGGAGGATCCTGCTACGTGTTTTGCAATAGGTGGCGATGATTGCTACGTAGATTCTGATTCATTACTTTAAGGTGTCACACGATGGCCTACTCTTGCGAACGACATCACAGGATCTCCAACAACGTTCACTCTGAAGCATGATTAGTATGATATGGTAAAAGAGAAATGGTCCAGTTTTTAATAGTTTAAGTTGAGTTTAACACGTAGGCTTTCGTGACCAATATAATCCATGATAGAGGGTTTTTTGTTGGGTTAGATCGCGTACATATATAAATGTGTCGTTAAACCCACCACCACCCGACACAGCCAACTAGTAAGGGTTGTCACGTAAACAGAACGTGGCCAATTCGTCACTAGTACAGCACTAGTGTGTAGTGTAGTGTGTAGTGTATAGTGTTGTAGTGCATAGTGTAGTATACTAGTACAGCACCACCGGTGTGTTGGAGAGCCAAGCCACAACATTTACAATCTGAGTACGATGTTTCGCCAGTAATTACAACTAGCTTCATCACGAAAAAAGTTTAACTTTAGTTTGTTACGAGAATTCGGAGCGGAAGACGATTTATGTGTGAACTTCTGCCACAATATCCGACCGCTCTTTCGCTCACGCCGCGCCGCTGGCTTGGAGTGTAACAATAGTCTTGGGTACATTTTTTTTTGTAAGTGTGTAATTTTCTCGGTGTGGCCGCTGGGACTATTATATAATGGTAATTGTCAAAACGTGTAATACACATCCCTTGGTGGGGTGCGTAATCACAGCTAATTTAAAACGTTCAGCGAGGAGTGGCGGTGGAGGTGAGAAACAGTTTTCTGAATTGCGCGGAGGCCACGCCACGGGTCGCACTTGAACATTGATGCCAAATCGATCGCGCGCCTCGGTCGGGGTGGGGAGGGCAGTCGTGTGGGAGTCGTGGGGGGTTTGTCGCGGCTCTGGTGGTGAGCGCACGAGGGGAGGGGTGAAGGAGAGGTGGGGGCCAGTGGCTCGAGAGAGTGAGACCCAACTGAGTTTGGGGGTTGATTATTGTTGATGCAGTGCCGTTGATTAAAGTTAATGCAATTTTACAAGGCCACTACAAAATGTGGATTTACAGTATATCGCGTCTCAAGGCTCGGGTGCGACAATACTGGGCGTATTTAGAGGGAGGCCGTCAGCCATGGAGCAGACGAGAGGAAGATCCTGAAGCTGAACAGGGCCATGGAGTCGACAGCACGAGTAGCCGGGAGCTCCAGACTAGTGGTGGCAGCAGAGGAGAAGCAGAGACCTCCCACTGAGCCAAAGGTGACTGGGTGGCTTAGACAGAAGTCATTGGTTGAGATGGGAGGGGAGAGGTAGGAGAGTGCGTGGAGGGGAGTAGAGTGAGATGAGAGGGGAGATGTAGGAGAGTGCATGGAGTGGAGTAGAGTGATATGAGAGGTAGGAGAGTGCGTGGAGGAGAGTCGAGTGAGATGAGAGGGGAGAGGTAGGAGAGTGCATGGAGGGGAGTAGAGTGAGATGAGAGGGGAGAGGTAGGAGAGTGCATGGAGTGGAGTAGAGTGATATGAGAGGTAGGAGAGTGCGTGGAGGAGAGTCGAGTGAGATGAGAGAGAAGAGGTAGGAGAGTGCGTGGAGGGGAGTGGAGTGAGATGAGAGGGGAGAGGTAGGAGAGTGGGTGGAGGGGAGTAGAGTGAGATGAGAGGGGAGAGGTAGGAGAGTGCGTGTAGGGGAGTAGAGTGAGATGAGAGGGGAGAGGCAGGAGAGTGCGTGGAGGAGAGTAGAGTGATATGAGAGGAGAGAGGCAGGAGAGTGCGTGGAGGGGAGTAGAGTGAGATGAGAGGGGAGAGGCAGGAGAGTGCGTGGAGGGGAGTAGAGTGAGATGAGAGGGGAGAGGTAGGAGAGTGCGTCGAGGGGAGTAGAGTGATATGAGAGGTAGGAGAGTGCGTGGAGGAGAGTCGAGTGAGATGAGAGAGAAGAGGTAGGAGAGTGCGTGGAGGGGAGTGGAGTGAGATGAGAGGGGAGAGGTTAGGAGAGTGGGTGGAGGGGAGTAGAGTGAGATGAGAGGGGAGAGGCAGGAGAGTGCGTGGAGGGGAGTAGAGTGAGATGAGAAGGGAGAGGCAGGAGAGTGCGTGGAGGGGAGTAGAGTGAGATGAGAGGGGAGAGGTAGGAGAGTGCGTCGAGGGGAGTAGAGTGAGATGAGAGGGGAGAGGCAGGAGAGTGCGTGGAGGAGAGTGGAGTGAGATGAGAGACGAGATGTAGGAGAATGCGTAAAGGGGAGTGGAGTGAGATGAGAGGGGAGAGGTAGGAGAGTGCATGGAGGGGAGTAGAGTGAGATGAGAGGGGAGAGGTAGGAGAGTGCGTGGAGGGGAGTAGAGTGGGATGAGAGGGGAGAGGTAGGAGAGTGCGTGGAGGGGAGTAGAGTGAGATGAGAGGGGGGGGAGTAGGGCAGGTTTTTCAAACCCGTCCTCGCGACCCACCACGCTCCGTCTTTCCACATTTACAATTTTACTCCCCATTCAAATACACGCAGTACACACACGCGCAGTACACACACACGCACAGTACACACACACGCAGTACACACACGCAGTACACACACACGCAGTACACACACAGGCAGTACACACACAGTACACGCACACGCAGTACACACACACGCACAGTACACACATACACGCAGTACACACACGCACAGTACACACACACAGTACACACACGCAGTACACACACACGCAGTACACACACACGGGCAGTACACACAGAGGCCCAGTACACACAGTACACACACGCAGTACACACAGAGGCACAGTACACACACACACAGTACACACACGCAGTACACACGCAGTACACACACACGCGCGCGTGCAGTACACACACGCGCGCAGTGTACACACACACACGCAGTACACACACACGCGCAGTACACACACACGCAGTACACACACACGCACAGTACACACATGCAGTACACACACACGCAGTACACACACACACGCAGTACACACACACACGCAGTACACACACACACGCAGTACATACACACAGTACACACACACGCAGTACACACACACACAGTACACACACACGCAGTACACACACACACGCAGTACACACACACAGGCAGTACACACACACAGTACACACACGCAGTACACACACACACGCAGTACATACACACACAGTACACACACACGCAGTACACACACACACAGTACACACACACGCAGTACACACACACACGCAGTACACACACACACACGCAGTACACACACACACGCAGTACACACACACACACGCAGTACACACACACAGGCAGTACACACACACAGTACACACACACGCAGTACACACACACACGCAGTACATACACACACAGTACACACACACGCAGTACACACACACAGTACACACACACGCAGTACACACACACACGCAGTACATACACACACAGTACACACACACAGTACACACACACGCAGTACACACACACACGCAGTACACACACACAGGCAGTACACACACACACGCAGTACACACACACAGGCAGTACACACACACACGCAGTACACACACACAGGCAGTACACACACACACACAGTACACACACACGCAGTACACACACACACGCAGTACATACACACACAGTACACACACACACAGTACACACACACGCAGTACACACACACACGCAGTACACACACACAGGCAGTACACACACACACGCAGTACACACACACAGGCAGTACACACACACACGCAGTACACACACACAGGCAGTACACGCATCATCATCATCATCGAGCGTAGTGCGCCCCGGCGCTTGGCCTGTTCGACACCCGCTGACATTTCCAGCTGATCTCGCACGGCCGTCCCATCGTGTTCCGTCCGCAATTTCCCCGTCTGAATTATCAGGCGTTTGACATTAAAGATCTGCCTCTCTGTCACGTTCCCAAACGGCATTATGACAGCAGTTAAAAAGCAATTACCCAGATTAGCTCCTGACATTTTAATATCACAGGGAGCCGATTAACACGCCGTTTTGTGGGGAGCTCCGAGCTCCATTATTCTCGGCCCGATTCTTTTGCCGTGACATTTTAAATAAAGGCCTCGGAGAGACACACAGAGAGAGAGAGAGAGGAGAGCTCGACGCAGATGCCACCGCCTTCATGCAAAAAAAAACACAATAAGGAAAACAAATAAAAAAACTCCCCATTAAAGTGGTTAAATAAACCGCGCGTACCACGCAATCAGCGCGGAAACTCGCACATGGGCATGGAGCGGGGCTGTGTCGGGAGCGTTGAAGCTGCCCCTCCACCCACCCCCCGCCCTCCGTATGCCCCAACTGTTTGTTAAAAGCTATGAGGTTGTCGCGCTGCGCTTGACTGATGTACCAGGCTAGGTGTACTTCATGTGTATTCATATTCTTAGGTTTTTTAGGTAAAGTTACGTAGGTAAAAAATAAAAATTAATAAAAGTAAAATAAAATAAAAATAAAAAATCACGACGTTTCGGAGGCAACACAAGCTTCCGTCTTCAGGTGGAACCGTCACAGCCACGATAGCTGTATCAAGTAAATGAGAGATTACATGAGCTACCACTCCGTATATATACACTTTTTATTAATATGGCACTTCATGTGCTTTCCGACTCTGCCACCTCGCTGCGTTTTAGCCGCCCGGCACTACCGCTCGTTGTTGTGAGCGCCGCCCCTTTTGCCTGCCACCACCATCACCACCACTACCCCATCTCCTCCACTTCCCCCCCCCCCCCCACGACTCTCCCACCCTCGCAGGCAGCAGCGATCCCGATGTGAGGCGGCCGGGCAAAGCGCCCGTGTGCTGCCTCAACTGGAGCGCGGGGGAGCCGGGTCTGGAAGCGGTGAGCGGAGCCACGGGGAAGGCGGACGGTGGGCAGCCTTCCCGGCTCTGCAAGCAAGCCCTGTTCGCTCGCTGGGCGCAGCTGCACCCCAAGGTGCGAGGCTGCACAAGCAGAGAGCAGCCCCCCCTCCCACTCTCAGCACCAACCACCACCTCCTACCCGTACCCCTCCCACAAGCATTGCAGTGAACCCCCGTACCGTCATCGTGCAGAGCGCCGCTCGGAGTGATATATTTCAGCAACATTGGTTTAGTGGAAGCACCACCGGTTTCAGTTGAATAGGAAACCGCACGCAGAACGAATTCATCCTTGGATTGCGAGCGTCGCAGTTGTCTCGTGAGAAACTGAGCGACTCCTTAACATTGTATGTATTAGTTGCGTTATAGCTTGATCTTACATACGGCTCGCCTTGTAATGTAATGTGAATTGTTGAGCACCCCGAAAACGAGGGGACAAGCTGTAATTGGGCTGCGTAGGAATAACGAGTCGTTGTATGCCAAGGACATCATCTGCTGACGTGAGCCGGGATCGTGAGGCCAACGTGGATTTCTTTTAGGGTTGGAAATATTCTGGATCTTAATCAAATGTCCGATTAGATTTTTGTTGATCTTTAAGGCGGGTAGGTGAGAGCTTAGAACAGCGGAGCTGCCGACTGCTGAGAACCTGGGTTTGAATCCGGGTTTCGACCACATGCAGTTAATCATACGCATTTGTCTAAGATAATCGAGGCTCCATGAATAAACATCATGCAGCAGGTGGGGTCCGGGGGGTGGGACATGTGACCTTGATTTAGTAGCTGGTGTAGAGTCCGTGGAGACTTTGGACAAAATTCCCAGTTGGTGAGACGGCTGAAGCAGATCGCGTCTTGGTGAATTCCTCCCGGTGGTAGCGGTGGTGGCGGCTGTGGCGGCAGTGGTGGCGGTGGTGGTGTCGGTGGTGGCGGTGGTGGTCGCGGCGGTGGTGGCGGTGGCGGCGGTGGTTGTGGTGGTGGTGGCGGTGGCGGCGGTGGTGGCGGTTGTGGTGGTGGTGGCGGCGGTGGTTGTGGTGGTAGTGGCGGTGGCGGCGGTGGTGGCGGTGGTGGTCGCGGCAGTGGTGGTGGCGGTGGTGGTGGCGGTGGCGGTGGTGGTGATCTCGGCGGTGGTGGCGGTGGTGGCAGTGGTGGTGGTGGCGGTTGTGGTGGTGGTGGTGGTGGTGGTGGCGGTGGTGGCGGTGGTGGCGGTTGTGGTGGTGGTGGTGGCGGTGGTGGTGGTGGCGGTGGTGGTCGCGGCGGTGGTGGCGCTGGTGGTTGTAGTAGTGGTGGTGGTGTCGGTGGCGTTTTTTTTCCTGCCAAAACTCTCATCAAGGGAGACCTGGACCGCAGAACAGAGTACGGCAAAACAAAAGTGAGACGGTATAAGCGCGTGAAACAAAGTCATGACATTTTTTTAATGCAAATATACATTTAAGTGCATATATTTTTATAATGAGGTATATCTCGCAAGGGCTTTCATTCGCGTTGTCAAAGGCTCGAAAGTAATATCTCATTAAAATCTGACTGATATTAACTATAAATAATTCTGTGTCTGACACAATTCTGCATGTCCGACAATTTCCCAGTTGTCTGATGGTTATCGTTAAATAATGTACAATTATGACGATGATAATAATGTACATAACATAATTCGTTATCTGGGAGAGCCTCACAGAGTCTCCACGTGGCTGATTCAGGAGGGTCTTGCAATGGGGTGTTTTGGCCAATCTTGATTTGAAGCTTTCGTGACTGCAGGAATCCATACTCTTTGGTTCTTTCGGTAAAGTCACGTAGGTGGAAAAATATCATAAAAGAAATCACGACGTTTCGGGCGCAACACAAGCGTCCGTCATCAGGTGGGAAAACATGGCCTGCTGCTGATGCAGACTGTTTGCTCTCTCAGCGTTGACGTGGGGAAGAAAACCGGAATGGCACGCAGATGGATTCACTCGCCCACTTGCTGTACTACATTTCTGTGGCCACCTCCAGTTTCCTCCGATTGGTTACCCCAGTTTCGTCCAACGCACTCGGGAATGGAAATTTGTCCAGACCTCCCGATGTAGCAGGACCCTCTTAAAAGTGGAGTCTTGGGATTCTATCCAGGCTCTCATGGGGGTTAACGAGCAGCAGCATCAGCAGCAGCAGAACAGAATTGACGCCTGGAGGCACGGGCAGGTGATGATGTTAACTACCTCGCCTGGTATACAGGAGATGTTGGGTTCGATCCCGACCCTGACGCCTGCTGTATATTTTGCGTGTCTCTCTCCCCTTGGTCGTGTGTGATTTTTTTCTCCGGGTCCTCAGGTTTTTTCTTCCACATGTAGAATCAACATGCGTTTTTGAGTATTTGGCTGCTAGAAATGTCCACGCGATAAGCCACTTCGTCGAGCGATTATGTGTGGCCAGGTTGCTACAGAAAGAAAGAGCTGCATCGCTCAGTGGGCCTTACCTGGTAAAATAAAAACATCTTCTTGGTTCTTTCGGTAAAGTCACGTAGAATGGAAATAATAAAATAATAAAAATAAAACATAATAAAATAATTCTCACGATGTTTCGGCAAGCAGCCGTCCTCAGGTGAAGAACAGGTCTGTCGATAAGACAGAGTCTGAATGACAGAGTCTGAATGACTCTGTCTTATCGACAGAGCGAGGGTCTCTATGATGGACCGGACTCTGTCTTATCGACAGACCTGTTCTTCACCTGAGGACGGCTGCTTGCGTTGTGGCCGAAACGTCGTGAGAATTATTTTATTATGTTTTATTTTTATTATTTTATTATTTCCATTCTACGTGACCTTACCGAAAGAACCAAGAAGATGAATCCCTGCAGTCACGAAAGCTTTAAATCGAAAAATAAAAACAGTTGAGCTTTAGTGTCGTGATGGGCAGCTGTCACTATCACTGATTGGGGGGCGGAGTGGTTAACATTGGGAGGGGGAGGATGGGGGGGGGGGGCAGTGGGTGGCGGTGGGGGTGCGGGGCAGGGAGGTGGTTAAAGAGAGAGAAAGGGGTCAGCGTGGCTCGTGATAGTAGTCCGGCTTCACGGGTAAACGCGGCTGACGAGACGCGCTGACTCTCGTGTGCGATGCAAGCGGAGGGCGTTGAGATGTTTTATTTATGGCTTCTCCACTCGCGCTATCATGGAGACTGCTGGGACGCAGTGGCCATGTGGACCGGTCCATCATAGAGACTCTCGCTCTGTCTCTCGAGCGGGCCAGCGAGGGGGGAGTGGAGAGTGAGCGAGTGGCAGATGAGGGATGGGGTTAGGTCTCGGAGGCCGAAGCAGCTGCGTGACGTGCACGCGCGTCGCGCCTAATTGGCACGGGATGAAGCGCCCCCTGGGAGCGAGCGGGCACCTATGCACAGGCACGAGTTCCTCTGTGTGTGTGTGGGTGTCGCTCCGCCGTATGTCACGCGGACGCACACAGCGACGCATGCACACGTGCAAGGCAAAGACAAAAGTACCCCGCGTATAGTCTCAACTTGCTGTTGGGAGGCAAAGTGCTGTGAAGGCCGGGACGGCAACACGAGGGGGTGGGTGGCCAGCACCACTCCCAACCGCCTTTGTCTCCCCAGTGGCGATATTTATACACCGCACTCATTTGAGGTTGAGTCGACCTAGGCGACACCAAAGACCGGGTCAGATAATCGTCACTGGTGTTTGTGTTGCCTCCGAAACGTCGTGATTTTTATTTTATTTTTTATTTTACTTTTATAATTTTTTTACCTACGTGACTTTACCGAAAAAAATCGGCTCGCCAGGTTCGTAGCTCAGCGCGCTCACCGCTGTAGCACCACTCCCCCACACACGGGCGTGCTCCCTCCCCCCATCACGACACCGACGCACGGCTCTCCCTTCCCCTCTCTCCCACTGGAACTTTCACCTCTCATCAGCCCTTCTCCCCAGTAACGATCTCTCGCGCTCTCTCGCGCTCCCTCCGCTGCTGCTCCTAAGGGATCTCTCTAAACGGTATCAACATTTACACGAGCGAGCAAACCACTCACTGGGGGGGGGGGCTGGGGTAGGGGGGCTGGGGGGCGGGGTAAGAGGTGTGGCCTAATTTACCCTTTCCGAGTGGCGGAGCAGAATTGACCCTCCAGCCCGTTCACTGTGTTATTCGTGGAAGTGTTTAAGGGGGTGGTTAGGAGTCCCTACAAAGCCTCCGAACGCCCCAATTTGTTTAACCCATTCCTACCCTGCTATTTTCATCAACTTCTGCACGTAATTGCATTGAACAAAAAGAGGGGGGGGGGCAGAAGCTTCCCGTCCAGCTGAGTTAATTTCTGACTTACACTTTCAGCACACATCCTTCTGAGAGTGCCTATTTATCAGCAACATTAGTTTCAAATAATCAAACTCTGGACCGGTGTAGACACTCAACGTCTCATCATTTAGTCGGGTTAAATTACTCCCAGAAGGTCGTGTGGCCGATGCGATGGACCAGTATCATCCACTATTCTATTCTAATTGATAAACTCGAGAGAGAGAGAGAAAAGGAGAGCGAGAGATGGATCCGTGGTGGTGGTGGGGATCACGATGAATTGGCGTTTGGCATTACATCCTCGCACAAATCTCTCTCGTGAAAGCGTGTGGCGGTAGCGGGAGGGAGGGCGAGAGAGGAGGGGAGAGCGTGCGGGAGAGAGAGAGAGAGAGAGCGTGTGGGAGTGATGTGCCGCAAGTCTGAACGCGGATGGACGCTTGCGGCCATCACTCTTTAGAACTGGCCCGGGTCGGCCACGGGGTCGGCCCGGGTGGCCGCAGATCAATGGCGGGGCCCCGATTCGCTATCCGTGCCGTTCCGCTCCGGCAACCTCCCGCGATGAGCACTCTGATGAGCAGCCCGGCCTGTCAGGGTCTGCAAGTGCGGGGTGGGGGGAGAAGAGATGAAGGAGAGCGAGGAGAGAGAGAGAGATACAGGGGGCTGGGAAGGTGGGGTTCGTGAGGGGTCACACGCAGATGCCGTTCTCGCCGTGGCCGACAAATGGGCCCTGGCTGATTCCGTTGAGGATGAGCGCGCAGCCCTGGGAAGGAAGAGGAGCGATGCGCAGAGTCAGAATCAGAATCTTCATTTAAACTCTGCTGGAGGAATCCGATGAACTATAAGGCTCTTGTTCACGGGGTCATAAAGTGACAACAAAAACAATTAGTATTCTTTGAGTCTTTCGGTAAAGTCACTTAGATAGGTTCAAAGAAAATAACAAAAAGATAGCAAAAAAAAAAAACCACGACGTTTCGATCGCAACACAAGCGATCGTCGTCAGGAGGAAAAAAAGATGACGATCGCTTGTGTTGTGATCGAAATGTTGTCGTTTTTTTGTTATATTTTTTGTTATTTTCTTTGAACTTATCTACGTGACTTTACCAAAAGAATATGAATTCCTGCAGTCACAAAAGCTTTAAGTCAAGATTTAAAGACAATACAGAAACGCGATAGGAGTGCACAGTACAGGAAAGGTAAACATGTCATTTAAAAAAAGATATACAAATAACACATTTTTTTTCATCTTACCAGGTAATAATAATTTCATTTTATATAGCATCGTTCATGCAATTGCATCCCATTGAGTTATTAGCTTCTTTTTCAGAAGCGACCTGGCCACAAATGATAGCTCAACCAAGTGGCTTTTCAAGTGGTAATCCATAGCAGCAAAATCATCTCCATAATCTCGAGGTGTGTGGAGAGGGCGGTGATGGTGGTACCGTCATCGTCGTTATCCCCTGCCGGACGAACGCCTCCCCAAGTCGCCATCTCTCACTGACCCGATAATAAAAAATTCATCTCGCCCCTTGCACGCGAGCTGATTAAATCGCTCCGTCTGCACGGTAGAACGTCCTCTCGGGCGCGTTCCGTCCTTTGACTGCCACTCCGTTGTTAGTGTCGACCAGAAGCCATCGTCCTTTCGAACCGTCAAGTGCCTTTCCCAATGCCCCACTTACTGTGGTGTGCAGGTTACGCGGTGCGAGGTGTGGAGTAGTGGGATGGATGGTGGCGGGTGCCGGGTTCGGGGTGGCCTTGCAGAATTTGTATTTCGCATTTTTCCCCCGAGTAATGTTTTGTTAAACTCAAACGTGCGGTAAGTTTGTACCGCAACTCGGGCACAGCACGGCCTACCGTGCGGGCACACTTCCATTTGCTGGCGGCACACATGAGCAGGCTGAGTTGATGTCGGCTGTTTTCACAATTACTGACCACAGAACCATGCAGAATCTGGGAGTGGACGCGAATCTGAAATTCATGAGCTTCCGAGTGCGCCCTGTCCTCCACCCTCCCCCTCCCCCCTCCTCCTCCCACGCTGCCCGCTTAAAAACAAAAGCTGCACCGAAACTGTGGGATCCACAAGACCCATAGACTGCAGGATTCGATGCACGTGATGCTGTTTGTTTGTGCTCGTCAGCCGGTAACATCGCACTGCTCGGCAAACGCCTCCCCTCATTCTTTTCCATTACTTCCTCTCCCCAGTTGCTCGTGTTCAGCCTTGCCCTCTGAATAATTACCTGATTTCATCTCACTGCGGCCACCTCCTCCGCTGTTTGCTTCTCTCCTTCGTTCGCCTTCTCTCGGTATCCACTCCGCAGTTCATGCTGTTCATCTCTCGTCGGGGTTTTTCTCGTGGCGTCGTCAGCCCCAAAGATGGAATTTTGTCCGCGCGAGGAGGCGCATCATCGAGTGCGGATACGAGGCAGAGTCGAAGGGACCTCGGAAGTTGATCTGTAATGTCCGCTTCCGCGGGGGGGGGGGGGGGGGGGGCTTGAACAGGTGGTCAGCTTACCCCGATCGCTGTGCGATCTTCGAATTGAAGATTTGAGTGTTTTATTTTAATCCACAGATATTCAACCGGGAGAATCCCGTAACATGGAAACCATCGTTTGTCCAGGCAGCCACGTGCCACACACAGCAAACACGCATTTACACGTGACGACAAAACACTTGACAATATACAACAACACACAGTACACGTTTACGTATACAGAGTCAGGACCAGGATTAAGACAACGCGTCTCAATGTACGAGGTATATGTTATGATCCAAATAGCACAATTAGTCTCCCAGTCAACATGGAACGTTGGGCCAACGTTGGTTCAACGATTCCAACGACGTGCCAATGTTGGCTCAATGTTTGCATGTTTACGGGGCTATTCTTGTGGGGAACGAATAGCGTCGGGCCCGTTGCTAATCGGCACTGGCATGACAATGATGGCAGCGCGTTCAGCCTGCAGTGCGATATTAACCCCCTCGCTGCTCTGAAGTTCGCTGCTAGGTTATGGGCCGTCCATAAATGACGCCACGCACCTAGGGGGGGTGAGGGGGGGGGTGTCAGACTTTTGTGACGATGTGTGACGAGGGGAGGGGGGGTGTTGAGAAATGTGACGTCACATCAAAATGCGCAACTTTAAATAAATATAGAAAGCACGTTCTGCTTAATAAAATAGACTTTTTAATAAATGTTTTCTCCTACAACATCAGAGTGCAGCGCCACATTAAATACGCACTACAATGACAATAGTTTAAAGCGATTTGAAGCATGTTTATTTTTTGGGGGGGGAGGGGCAGAGCTTTGTGACGTCATATTTGAAGGGGGGGTCTGACTTTTTGTGACGCCGTGTGATAAGGGGGGGGGGGGGGGTCAAAAATCGTCCAAAATCGCGTGAAGTCAATTATAGACGGCCCCTTATCTCGTAGTCGTGTTGCAGACCACACACCTGTTGGAGACTACACACCTGGTGTAGACTACACACCTGTTGGAGACTACACACCTGGTGTAGACTACACACCTGTTGGAGACTACACACCTGGTGTAGACTACACACCTGTTGGAGACTACACACCTGGTGTAGACTACACACCTGTTGGAGACTACACACCTGGTGTAGACTACACACCTGTTCACCAGGTGTAGCAATTGCGTGGGCCAAACGTCTCACTGCTGCAATATTACCTGCGCACTACACAGTCGGGGTTACACACAGCAGCAACGCGTACGTGTGTGTGTGTGCGTGTTGAATTTCCTTCTCACCACCGTACGTAGCCAAGCGTGATAATCAGAGGTACGGGTGGGGAGGGGGGGTGAAGTCTAACAAACTAAACATAAAAAAACAGCAACAACTTGGCAAGCCCCTTCTGAAAAATGAGAGTATTAAGATTCGGCGATGCTTTCCTGTCGGGTAACAAAAAAAAAAACTTCGTAACAATGATAATACAAACAAAAAAATCCTAGAACTTCCCCAACATGTGCACGGCAACTCAACGGTCTGCGTAGAAGGGGCGCATGGGGGATAGAGGCGACGTTACCACGAATCGCCCTTGGAGGGACCACCCCAGTAGTTCCTCAATAACGTGGCGCATTACAACTTGAACTGTCGATGCGTTCGTGAGCATGAACGTGACAAATCACATTGGCGAATGTACTGCGCTGTTTGCCGTGCGATGGGTACTCGGTTGCGTAGAGAGCGACGGACATGGCTGGACTTTTGGGTGCAAATCGAGTCGAGTCCCTTTGCTGAGGCTGATTGTTTTCAGAGAGTGGTGGTACAATCCTCCAGTTCTGCATGGCTCCAGGTCTCATACAGATGCAGCAGTGAACCAATCACTTCGTGCCCCTCCCCCCCCCTGTTAGTGTGACGCTAAAGCCGATAGAAGGCGGACAAAGCCACCACCGGTTCGTCGTATGAAGCTTCTCTCGATCGGTGGAATCTGGTCGCGATGCACCAACCATTGCCTCGAGCTCCACGTGTGCCATTTTCTGAATGAGGGCCACTCACGATTGTGTCCTTGACCCGCCCACCTCCGATTAACTCGGTTGTCTACGTACGGCGCGAAAGAAGTCCAACATAACGCGTGGCGTGGGCGCCACTGCCAGTGTCTCTCTCGGAGCCCACGAGAACCACGCCCCAACACGAACGGCCACAGGTGGACCACGATCCCTTGCCGATCTCGTCAAAGAGCATGCATCATCACGCGAACTACGGTCACCCACGCAGCGGCGGCCGCTTCCGGCTGGCCATCGAACATAGGCGGTCACTGCATCGCGCGCTTTCGGATGCGCTTCTGCGGCCGTCTGGAACCCTCTTCCTTCCGATATTAGGAAGCCACCGGGGCTGTGCAGTTGTAAATCGTGTAGATTGACAAACACATTTCTGAAGAACTGCTTTGTGAATTGAGTTCCTTGTCCTTCCCCCACACATCCGATTAGCGTGGTCGGCTACGTACGACGCGAAAGTGGCTCAACTTACATACAGTAATAAACTCTTAGGTTTTTCGGTAAAGTCACGTAGGTAAAAAATAAATAATAATAAAAATAATAGAAATAATAATAGAAATAAAATAATAAATCACGATGTTTCGGAGGCAACACAAGTTTCCGTCATCAGGTGTGACCGTCACAGCTAGATTTACTGTCTCAAGTGAGGCAAAATTCCAAGAGACAAGCCCTTAAATACAAGTTGAAGGGGGAGGGAAGGGGGAGGAGGTTATCTGAATGTGGAAGCCAATGAGTGGAACGTGTTAGGGGGGGGGGGCGGGGCTAAAATATAACAGTTGGTGCATCTTGTTGATGTTTTACTCGATGTTGATTGACAATCCAAATACAAAATGAGAGGGAAATTGTTGGTTGGCAATCCAAATACAACAAAGGAGAGGAGAGTGATGTTAAACGCTGGAGATGGCAACACTCAGTAAAGTAGTACATACAGTAACCCCAGCGGAGTTTCAGCAGCCTGGTCCGATTCTTAGCCACGGGTCAACCTCATTGGCGAGTGGTACCGGTCCTAGGTTCGCCCCCCCCACCCCAACCCCGTCCACCCTTCCACGTCACCCTTGACAGATGAGACACACTCTCCTCGCCTCTTGATCCATCACCTGGTTCAAGGAAACGAAATAATCCGCGTGCGGCTACGGTGACGCGATACTCACCACCGCTGCCCCCCCCCCCTCCACCACCGCCCCCTCCTCCTCTGCAGCTCAGCGTCCGCGTGGCCCCTTCAGCCTGCCGTGAGCACCCGGAGGCCACCCCACCGGGCACCTACGCCGAGGCGAAGCAAGCTGCGCGCGACTACCAGGCGGCCAAGCAGCAGCTGTTCCGCGGGCTGCGCAGAGCCGGCCTGGGTGACTGGGTGAAGAAGCCCTTGGAGCAAGACCAGTTCTGCCTGCAGATGCCCTGAGGGCGGGCGGCGCGCACGTGTTTGTTATTCTGCTACTTTCTTTCGGTGCGAGAAAGTAGCAGCAGCAACAACAACAACAGCGGTAACAGCAACAGCAACGACAACAACAACAACACACGCAGGGGGTGTGTGTGTGTGTGTCTGATGAGCGCTCTGTTCCAGGTTATTGGAAATGACACTTTGTGACCTCTTGTTCATGTTCCCTTGCCAAGTAAGAGGGATGTTTCGTTCTTTCGAGCTCTCTCTCTCTGCGCGCGCGGCTGTATCACGAGGTGATCGCGGCGCTATAAATAATTCCGCTATGAATGCCAGGGCAGGGTTTTTTTTTAGAGAGAGACCCGTGGCAAGACTTTAAATTGGCCCGCGACATGTCACCTTGATTGCACGTTTGGCTTAGACCCGACAACGTTAATTAACGCGTGGAAGGTTTATTTTTTATTTTATGTAATTCTCAGAGCCCGGGATTTGTTAACTAACCATCTTGCCGCGGCTGCAGGGCCTCGGACTCGCGGTGCCGCGGTGCGGAGTCGCGACTGGCTAGCTTTTAATGCGGCTTTAAAAAAAAAAACAAGCCCCGTTCACGCATGAGTGGTGCATTCCGATTGGCCTAGCCCGAAAAAGCAGAGAGAAACGACGCGGCCCCGCAGTGGTGACGGCTGCCCCCCCCATGTAGCCAAGACGCACGGAACACTGCCACCCCTCCCCCCCCCCCACACACACACAGTATTCTACATGTGCACGCGTAATGATGATTCTTCTTGCTCCAAAAGCAAACGAATTAATTTGGTGGTAGTGCTGCTGCGTTGGCAGTGGTGCAAGAGCGCGTATACTATTAATAATACAACAATACATTATCACAATCACGCATGCAAGGGTGGATTCATTACAGTTCAAGTTGCATCCAACGTGGTTCCATTGGGGTAACGGTCGGAATGAATGACAGGCTGGATCGAACAGGGCCCGTTGAGTTGGTTGTGATGAAGCCAAGAGACCAGGATAGAGTCTGGCTCACCAACTCGAAAAAGTTAAAATAAATAAAAAAAACTAAATCGGTACAGAAGCAACTGCATCTATCGCACGAGGTGGAATAGAAAATGTTCGAAAAAATATAATTCCCTGCAACGTAAATCTGCTGGGGAAGATTTGCCTCCAGACGGAACACGGCACAAAGTACAACACGAAGCTACAGAGACATTTAACATATAGAGGGGTGACTAGAGCACTTATATGCAATTGCAAGTGAAGTGATCATAACGAATCGACAAATTATCCTCTCAACTTGTACATTTAGGTGGGGGGAGTAATCTCGGACTTGTTTTGGAGCGATGGATGGAGGCAGTGGGGGGGGCGACACAGAGAGCACGGGGCGAAGCGACGGAACAAAGGAACGAGCGAGACATCCGATAGAAATCAAATGGTACAAACCGTTGTAAAATATTCGATTCTTAATTGACCCCCGAATTGTGGCTATTCCTTGAATAGCGTAGAGGTTGAGCTCATCACGTGCCTAAAGCCGATGCTTTAATTTAAAACAGCATACAACCCTGGTGCCTATTCATCATCATTATCATCATCCAGCAATACACTGCTGGATGAAGGCTTCCTCACGCCTTTGGAGCTGCCGTGACGTATTGGCCCTCTATCGGCAGGTTGCATGCCTGGTGGAGTAAAGCGTGGGTTCTCCCACCTCGTACCACGACGCTTGGTCAACGTGATAGTCGACAATATATTATCTAGAGCTCCCTCTAGCGGAGGCCATTCCACCAGCAGTGGCGCGGGCAGGCAATTGCAGGGTTGCGCCTTAAGCTGTAGCTGCGGCAAATCGTAAGTTAGCCATCGTAATCCGCCCAAGGTTACCAAGTCGAGTGCCCGATTCTTAATACGGGTTCTATTTTAAGGTGGGTCACAGAGAGAGAGAGAGAGATGTGCTGAGTAATATCGGTGTGACGTCTAAAACATGTCGAACAAATTTAGAATCCATCTCGCGAACAATTCCCCGCCGTCATTCATTCGCCACTTGCGCAGTAACGAGTAGGGCGTGTGCAGAGGAAGAAGACCCAGGCAATTGCTAACATATGCCTAACACCGGGCAGATTTTTTTTTAATTAAACAAACTTCATGTAATGTTTCAAACCAGGTGGCTAATTGGATACAATTTGCGCACCGTAATCTCTGCGCTACGACGTGATTTGCCTTGAGGTAATGTGTTAATAATGAGCTTCAATTGACAACTGAACGCCCAGTCTCAGCCCCCCCCCCCCGTCTCATCGTTTGTCAGCTCCTCATTTAGTAAAGAGGCCGCGTGCCGTGCCTCCACCCTCACGTCGCTCCAGGCTTCCCAACTGCCACGGCACTTCGGTGCCAAGGGTGACGAACTCAAAGCACATGGCACAGTTCGCCATCGCGTCCCCAGCTATTGAACAACACAATAACAAACAAAAAACATCAACCGCAAGTCCGCGCGGATACAAATTCGCAAATATTCTCCCGAAAATAAACTCGCCGCTCGGCGGATTAAGGCAAATCCACGACACTTTTTTCGTCCTTGCTTTGTGAACGGACCTCCATTGGCATCACGGCTGTCGCTGCGTCTCGATAGTCGGTTTGTGCCCCCTCGATTAGTCCGAGACGGACGAATAGTACCTTTCTTCATTACTGACAACTTGCAGCTCAGCACACGGCAGATGCCTGCGCAGCGTGACTCACGACCTTCTCTTGATACCAAGATCCAGGATGGTCACGTCTATGCGCCGCTTCTCGGTGGCAGCCCCAACAGTCTGGAACGATATCCCTCTGCACATTCGCAGCATCACCTCAATCGCCTCCTTCAAGAGACACTTAAAAACTCACCTCTACAATCATGCTTTCGAGCGACTCTGAGCTTGGCTCCGCGTCTCTGAGTTGCGGCCACTACAGTCTGCAAATTTGCGCGCGTTACAAATTGAACTATTATTATTATTATTAGTACTCAACCGTTCAACGCAACTTCTGAGATACCAGACAACCCACGCCAGGAGCTCCTTACTCGTTGAGTCATCGCGGCGGCTTGAGGCTCCGCTGAGATGACGCTGCACGCACCCGCCGCGTGAATTGCGCCTCAGTGCCGCAGCGAGCCGGTGCCAGCCCATCGCACACGTGGCCCGTGTAGTCATCTGCTGGCCCATAGACAGGTGGTAGGCAGGTGGTAGGCAGGGCTGCCACTTCTAAGGGTATACAATGAAAACCCAGCGGCAGTGACACACTCATTCTTGGTTGCTGGGTTAGATCACGTGGGCACAATGCTAATGTGTGTCGTACTCCCTCCTTCATACAACACAGCCGAAAAAAATGTACTCAACTTTTTTAAAGTAAATATTTGTAGTTTACCAGGTAAGGCCCACTGAGCTATATAACAATTTTCTAGAAGCGACCTCGCCACAAATGATTGCTCAACGAAGTGGCTTATCGTCGTGTGGAAATATATAGCGGCCAAGCACGCTAAACAAATATTATTATTTCTAAATGTGGAAGGAAAAACCTGAGGGCCCGGAGAAAAATCCATGAGATTACTGGGAGAACATGCAAACTCCAAAAATACAGGCGTCACAGTCGGGATCGAACCCACACCTCCTGTATACCAGGCGAGGTAGTTAACATCTCACCATCTTGGCGCCGATTTACTGTTTGCGACGGCACACCACCGGTATAATGATAATAAATCCACACACGTGGCCCCGCTGTTTCGACTTAACGGGCGCCATGGAAAATACTGTGGATGTAATAATCATTAAATATGTTCCACCGTCCGCTCCTAGTGGATATTCAACGTTTCCGTTTGGATTGTTCGAAAAGTGTAGAGGTCGTGCGTTGTTGGCGTCATGATACAAATTGGCCAAGTTTAAAACAATGACTTCATTGGGAAACAAATAGCAATCGTCGCCCGCTACTGGGACAACCTGACCAGGACCCTTATGACAACAAACGCTCCTGGACAAACAAATCATGAAAAGAAGAGGAATATCTCACAATACAAAAAAACGGGAGAATTGAATGTTCATGCATGATCTCGAGTGGTGCCCTATGGCGCCTGATGATGGAACGGACAACAACCTGGACTTTTAACGTGCTGGGAAGCCTCGCTGATTGCCCAGAACAGCGAGCTCAACAAGACGACGACCCTGGGAAAACCGGGACAGGTGGCAACCCTATATATGAGAAATACATAAATAAAATACATCGTAAGCATGCCCATCCAGAGCTGTCGATCCCAGATCTGGCCTCACCCCGTGTGTGAAGTACCGACCTGACCAACGCGTGTCTCTGTCTGTGAGCACGCGAACTTCTTCAGCACCGATTGACTGGATCGGTTGATGTCATGCGAATGGACTAGAGGGCCAGGTGCATGACCTCAGCTGTCCACCTCACGATGGCTGGGGGCACTTCATGCAGAACGCTGCGTGCAGCCGTGAGCGCTGCTACTGCTTACGTGTTGGCAGGCACATTCAGTTTCATTTATTAGAAATAGCCCTGTGAGCCATGCGGCTCTTGCCTCGGGTGCAACCGCAACAACCAAAAACATGAACAAAGAACATCAGAGACCCCCCGTGGTCAGGTTTGACAGCGACTGCCGGAGCAATTTCTGCCGGTTTAGCGCCGACAATCGTCGAGACGGCGCTGCATTCGATCCGCGTTGTATACATTTGGATTGCATTGTACAGCCTCGGAGCCCGAGTACGCAGACTGTAGTAGTAATAGTAGCAGTGCCGTGCTTAGCGCTAAATAGAGCCACGCGTGGCATCCGGGCAACGGTAAATTCGTCCCACTTGCGGCTGACCTCACGTTGAGGTCACACGTTGGCGAGTTTCACTGGGGGTCCGTGTCTCTGCGAGCAATTCGAGGTCACCGCTCGGGGTCAGCCGGGCCCTTTGTTGTGAAAGTGATTCGTGACCTCTTGCTCCCGTGCCCCCCCCCACCCCCCGCCACATGCCTCGTGAGCTAGTGGAGGGTCTTGCGATGAGCGTTATGTTCACAAAAGGCGATTTTTGGCGCTACAGTTGAAGCAACAACAATAACAACAAACCCAATTCCTTTGTATACATGTATAAAAAAATATATCACCGCGCGTGCGATCACAGCTTGCGAGTGGATTTCAATGGCTTTCTCGCCAGGCGTTAAAAGGAGGGAATTACATTTGAGGCGACCTCAACTTTCTTGCAAACTGTGTGCAGATCGAGTGCACGGACGCACGCATGCATTTGGTAAAACGTCTGGTTGCCTTGCGATGTTAGACGTCGTTTAGGGAATTCGTCATTGGCAAACGTGGTGTTTGCTACAAACAAATGTGGCGATTGGTGTGGATCGTCTGAGTTGGGAATTGTGTGTCTTAGCCAATGAAAACGGCATCTGTTGAAGACCGTGTGTTGATGGGAAGTCACGTGACCTCTTACGGTGATTTAATCGAAAGTGGCCATCCCAGTTTCCCACTCGGGCAGGAGTCGGCAAACAAGAACAAGAAGAGACATTTTTTTCGAATTCGGAAAAAAAAAAGACTCAATATTTCAAAAGCCGCAATGCACTCTGTGGTTAATATGAGATCGTGAGTCATTCATAAATAACGCCACGAAGCAGTCCTTAAAGAGCCGCATGCCACTCCGGGGCCGCCGACTCCTGCACTAGGTTGAAGGGGCAGTGAAATGTACCCCGCTGCGTGCCACGAGTTAGTTTTTTTTTGTTATTTTTGTTTTTGCAATACAGAAATTGTCGTGCCCTTCACTCTGCGGGTAAACAAGAAGCGGGCCGTGGAAGGTGTGGTGAGGAGGGGGGGGGGAGGGAGGTTCCGCGCGATGAGCGCAGAGCCCCCGACGATTCCCCGCCAGGCAGCCGCTCAGATAAATATCGATCGCCGCGTGCCGCGCGCCGAATTCTGCTGCTTTTAAACAATGCGGCGAGGCACCGAGTGTGTCGTGTGCGTGAATGATGTCCGCTCGAGGGTTTAGAGCTTTAGACCCTTTACAAAAGCCTTCACGCCGCGTTTCTGAGGCTCCTGTTCGCTGCCAAAACGCCCAGTGCGGTGGGGTTTCTCCATCCCCCAAGCTACGCGCGCTCAACTTGAGCTGGCAATGAAGCGGATTCTTAACCCCCTCTGCGCCCCCCTCCCCTTTCCCCCCTCCCCCCACCCCCCTCCCCTCTCCCCCCGCCGCCCGCTACTTTCAGCGTCTGCCAAATTTGTCTTCTCTCCTGCGTCTGGACAGGACGGTGGCTTTGAGTGCGCGGCGCGTAACGATGCATCGATTCGTGGAGTCAAGTGATTGTTTTGTTTGTGCTCACGATGCGGGCATGGAATGACGCGAGTGTGAGAATCGATGATTGACGACATGCAGGCCACAGGAGGCGAACGCAGCTCTAAAAACGGAGACAAAATGAGACATTCTACAGACTACGGATACAATAATGACCGTATCCCTGAATGGAACTGCATCACGTGACAATTCGTCTCAAGTTGGTGTGTTGTGGGGTGGGTGGATTGTCACATGGCTGGCAACGAGTTCAGTCTGGAGAGGCTGTGTGTGTCACGCATATCACACGGCATGAACTTCACACACTGCACTTGCGATAGTGTGTTATATATCAACAAAGTGTTTGAGTTGGAGTTATCTGCTATAATAAATCAGCAACCGCCCAAAGCGCCTGCCATAGTCGTTCCTGTACAGTTGACCGCATTACGAAGTCAACAAATATTTACACGGCCACCTTGACGATTGCGCATCGCTGTTTCCAGAAGGGACGCTAAGAAGTCAAAGTGATTCTCCTGCGCGAGTGTGCATTGCGGCGGTGATCATTACGCGTGGCGACCACTGAGCCAGTGGTGAAAATGTCACATTCCTGTGACGGAGATGAGTCTCCCCATAGGTTCAACCACTGCAGACCTCCTCACGAAGTGCTGATCGGAGGGATGATGGACTGAGTCGATGATCCCCCAGCCTGCATTTAAACTCGCAAACCTCCCGATTGCGAGCCCCCCCCCCCCCCTCTGGCGCGACGTCACGTGACCGGTTTGAGTCGGTGATATGGTCAATGACTGTGACGCATCTGCGATATCATTGTGCGTGCGCTGGACATTGCGCCTAATGTCTATTAAATGCACCCACAGCAGTGTGGATGGTCGTGTGGAAGCAGCTTAAGGTAAAAAATACTGGTGATCATTGGTTTTTTACCCTTTTATCTGGCAACAAAACTGACACCTTTTTTTTACAAGGAGTCATGTTTGCATAGACCACAATACCTGCAGTCATAATGCAAACAAAAACATAACTCTGATAATGTATGCACTGTCCTTGAAGTTGATTGGTCCACACCCGAGACAGCTTTCCTTAGAGCCTAGTCTCACATGGTGTTGGACCAGATGACGCCAAAAGGCGCACAACTCAAAGACAATGCACCATCAGAGTATGAGAGCTCGGGGTAAGCATTTACACCATTGGAACCTCATTTGCCAGTAAAAAAATGTGAGACGAGGCTCTAAGAAAAGCTGTCTCGGGTGTAGAACAATCAACTTCAAGGACAGTGCATACATTATCAGAGTTATGTTTTTGGTTTGCATTATGACTGCAGGCATTGTGGTCTATGCACACATGACTCCTTGTAAAAAAAGTGTCAGTTTTGTTGCCAGATAAAAGGGTAAAAAACCAATTATCATATTATTTACTGCGAAATGAGGTTCCAATGGTGCAAAAAATACACCTCAATGTCCACCTCGTTAATGTGCTCATTGGCACGGCTAAGTAAATCCAGCCTGTCCCCAAACGGGTGTCGAACCACCGCGGCGCGCCGCTAGCCGAGTTGCAACGGAGTTGAGTAGCAGACAGAAGCGGCAATATGCAGGTGTGCACATTTCTCGTGTCAGGATGCAAAAGAGTCCAAAACCACCGCGTGCGTGCCCCGAGAGGTCGACCGCAGGGCTCACGGGCGCGGTGAGTGGACGGGCGAGGAGATCGCCGGCAAACTGGGAAGAGACCAGAGGCGGGTTGTGGATGCCTCAGTCTCGAGAGAGTGGGGCGGGTAGGCAGGCGGGTAGGGGGTGGGAGATACGCCTTGCCCTCTGGGTCTGATGGGATCGGCGGTCCCGATGCTCGGCTCGCAGCAGCCATTCGTCGGCTCCGTTTATTTTGTCACGCGGCGGCGGCGGCGGCGGCGGCGGTGGAGGTGGAGGGGGCGGGCAAAGCGGAACGCGTTGCGCGTGGGGATCGCTGTGTGTGGTTAAGGCGACGCATTAAACGCTGCTGCTGCTGCTGCTGTGGATGCTGGTGGGGGGGCGTGCGCACGGATGTTGATCGCGTGGTTTGCAATGCCTCCTGGACAACAACTACCCCCAGCCTTTCGGTGGTGATATTCCGTATATATATAAATGTATTAACTTGCCTGTCGACCTTTTTTCTGTCTTTCCCTCTTGCCGCGTGTCGGTATGTGCAGCCGTGTATGTCCGTCCGTTGAATAAAGTGTGCGTGAAAACTGGGCGCTTGCTCGTCTACCACCCCCCACCCCCCACCCACCTCCTCTGAGTCTGTATCGCTGTTTCACGTCTGCCTCCGCCAGCCGCCTCGCCAGGCGGTTCTCCAAGTGTCCTGGTTACTTCAATGGAATCCGTCAAATGGACGAGAAAAAAATTAACCCGTAAAAAAACAAAGTTTTTCACTATAAATCCTTTATATGCGTGGCGACTAGAGTCCTCTCGTCCTCTGGCTTGAGATGGCTGCCACCTATGGGTCAGATGATTGTCTGCCAGCATTAAGCAATTGGTAATTAAATATTTTTTTAAAATTCCCGAAACAGTGTAAAATTTTGGAAAAAAAATTTCACGAAAATTAATTGTCACGCACAACGAGTCTGTGTGGAAAATGTCAGCTCGATTGGATCACGGGAAGTGGGTTAAAAAACGACCGAAAGATTTGCACGGTTCTAAGCAAGCAAGCAAGCACGCAAGCACGCAAGCAAGCAAGCGAACTTAATATAAAGGATTTAAAAAATGCCCGTCGTCATCGTGAGAGCTACTAAGCAGAACAGCCGTAGGGTTCGTTTCAACGCTCAGACAATTTGCGTGCGAAGCACAACGCCACGTGCGCCTTGTGCAGCATCCACGTGACGCGCTTCGCGGTCAGCCCCGTCGTAGGCCGCCGACAAACAGAGATTGGGACGACTGCCGCGATGTTTTTTTCCTGTCGCCAGTCACTCGCATTCGATCAAATGTATTGCGATCGTGACCTCGGATAAAGAGCTACTCACGATGGCTCATTTTAGCGTAACGCGCAATGTCTGCGTGACGTTGACACGTCACCACGTTGGCGCGTGTCCGAGTCCTGCCCCATTTCGATATTGGCGAATTTGTTAATTTGCCTACATAGCGAGACACGATTTTGCCGGCACGTGGTAGCTCGGTGGAAGTGAACGGCGGCGCGGGATGTGCGTCGAAACCTGCAGCACCGACCCTGGGGAAAGTAGAGGCAGTGATCGAGTCAAAGGGCACAGCGGCGTCCTGCACAGACAGGTGGTGTGTGGCAGGTGATGTGAGACGGGCGTTAGAAATTCCACGTTAACATGGTGGGGGGGGGGCAGCCTCTCTGTAGCACGACCACTTTTTTGACGGGGCGATGTTTATACACCGCACTCGGTGCTCATTTAAGGCTGAGTCGACCTAGGGGAGACCCACGACCGGTTTAGATCATCTTCGTTGGTGTTGGTGGCCGTGAGTGGGAATCGATCGCGAGTCGCCGGGTTCGTAGCCCAGCGCGCTCACCGCTATGCAAACGTCTCCGCACTAAGACAAAGACTAGCCCCCCCCGCCCCCCCATAGACTTAACAGACCCGTTGAGTCTGTCAAGGCGATGTTAGCGAGCAGCACTTATGAAAGACCGGCACGGCACACGAGGGGTGGGTTGGCCAGCACGGGACACGACACACACGCTCGCCGTCCGAGCTCCTCCATGTGGTGCGTAAAAGCGACACGTGTCTGAAACGATGGCTGCGTTGGGGCGCATTGATTGGGATAAGGAGATGGGCGAGTTTGCAGGACGGGCGAGACGCAGCTTGCGAATGGGGGGAGGCGGCAGAGTTAAAGGCGGTCTCGCCATCGTCCCCCGTCTACCGCCGAGACCGGGAGAGGCGCTTTCCCGTTCGTCATTCCGGGCACGCGGAGCCCATTCGCAAACGCCACGAAGTCACTGCCCTCCCCTGGATGGCGCGCGACCGCAAGTTGCGGTGGTCAAAATGAATAAGCGAGGGAAACTACTATTCACCACTACTCACCACTACACTCACCACTACACTCACCACTACACTCACCACTACACTCACCTCTACACTCACCACTACACTCACCTCTACACTCACCACTACACTCACCACTACACTCACCTCTACACTCACCACTACACTCATCGTTACACTCACTGCTACACTCACCACTACACTCACCACTACCACTACACCCACCACTACACTCACCACTACACTCACCACTACACTCACCACTACACTCACCACTACACTCACCACTACACTCACCACTACACTCACCACTACACTCACCACTACACTCACCACTACACTCACCACTACACTCACCACTACCACTCACCACTACTCACCACTACACTCACTACTACTCACCACTACACTCACCACTACTCACCACTACACTCACCACTAAACTCACTACACTCACTACTACACTCACCACTACTCACCACTACACTCACCACTACTCACCACTACACTCACCACTACACTCACCACTACACTCACCACTACACTCACCACTACTCACCACTACTCACCACTACACTCACCACTACACTTACCACTACTCACCATTACACTCACAACTACACTCACAACTAATCACCACTACACTCACCACTACTCACTACTACTTACCAATACACTCACCACTACTCACCACTACTCACCACTATACTCACCGTTACACTCATCGTTACACTCACCACTACACTCACCACTACACTCACGTTACAGTCATCGTTACACTCACCACCACTCACCACTACACTCACCACTACAGTCACCGTTACACTCATCGTTACACTCACCGCTACACTCACCACTACACTCACCGTTACCACTACATCCACCACTACACTCACCACTACCACTCACCACTACACTCACCGCTGCACCCATCACTGCACACATGCCTCATTGATTTACTCATGACCCGTATTCTTTCAGTTACTCATTCCTCCCGTTCATTCATTCAACCTTTCTCTCTTATTATTGTCGCATTTACTCACTCATTTCCTCACGTGCACACGCTGTATTCTGGCGAATAGCGAAACATTTCATTTTACAATGCACATAAGCGCTTCAAGGTCCAGTTGTAGAATTTCTCAGTACATATGAACAGAATTGTATACTTTTTGTTTAGTTCTGAGGCATTTCTCTCATTCAATCATTCATGCCTCTAATTTGTTCTCATTCTTACCTCAATCCTCTCTTTCTTCATATTTGATTTTTTACCTCTTTCAATCAAAGATTTCGCCCAGCACCTCCCATGAGCCTCCTCTAAACTTCCTGCAGGCCCATGCCGTTGCTATGGATACCGTTGCTAGGGATGCCGTTGCTAGGGATGCGTTGCTAGGGATGCCGTTGCTAGGGATGACGTTGCTAGGGATGCCGTTGCTAGGGATGCCGTTGCTCGTGATGCCGTCGGTTAGAGATTCCGTTGTCAGAGATGCCGTTGCTAGGGATGCCGTTGCTAGGGATGCCGTTGCTAGGGATGCCGTTACTAGGGATACCGTTGCTAGGGATACCGTTGCGAGGCTGGCGGTTGATCTTCGTGGCCGGCACCAGCAGATACCCATTTTAACTTTGTAATGCACATAAGCACATTAGCGTTCCGGGGCTTTGAATTTAGCAGTGGTATTAACGCGTTCGAACGCCCATAACTCGGCAAGGAAAGGTCGTGGGGGAATGCGTTTTGTAATTTTTTTTGTGTAAGACTGGCGCATTTACAGAGGGCATACTTTCGATCGTGGCTTGCAAAATGTGTATTCGTGTAAGGTCATGTTCAAAGTGGCCCATGCCCATGTAGAGACGTACAACGTAAGAATGTTACATCTTCTTTGGTTCTTTCGGTAAAGTCACGTAGGTATGAAATAAAATAAATCACGACGTTTCGGGCGCAACACACGTTTCCCCACCTGATGTTGGACGCTTATGTTGCGTCCGAAACGTCGTGATTTATTTAATTTAATTTTCTACCCACGTGACTTTACCGAAAGAACCACAGAGTATGCATCCCTGCAGTCACGAAAGCTTCAAATCAAGATTGATGTTACATCTCTCGATGATTCTGTAGACTTGGATGAAGTCGTCAGGGATTCTTCTCTGCACCAGACGAGAGAGAGAGTCTGTATTTAGAGGCTGCATCTGCGAATTGGCAGCACTGCTTGAGTCCAGAAGTCGCCCATGTGACCCTCCAAGGCAGGGAGTGTCACGTGTATACCCCTGGTGACCAAAACTAAACAAAACGCCACGCTTATTATTCACTTTTCATCATAATACTCTTCTCATATTGTGGTTGCTTCATTAGTATTGTTATTCCTAGATTATGGGCTGTCCATAAATGACGTCACGTACCTATGGAGAGGGGGGGGGTCAGACATTTGTGACGAGGGGGAGGGGTTGAGAAATGTGACGTCACATCAAAATGCGCAACATTAAATAAATATAGACAACACGTTCTACATAATTAAACAGACTTTTTAATAAATGTCTTCTACAATATCAGAGTGCAGCGCCACATGAAATACGCACTACAATGACAATTGTTTAAAGCGATTTGAAGCATGTTTATTTTTCTTGGGGGGGGGGAGGGGCAGAGCTTTGTGACGTCATATTTGAGGGGGGGTCTGGCTTTTTGTGACGCCGTGTGACGAGGGGGGGGGGGGGGTAAAAAATCGTCCAAAATCGCGTGACGTCATTTATGGACGGCCCCTTATGGTAAAAGTACTCGAAAAAATATACTTAAAACCGTGAACCTGTTTGTGCATGGATTTGCTCAGGTGTCGGCAGCCTGCGTTTGAACACACACAAGACACAGACATAGACCCCCCCGTATAGCCTTACCAGGCTCGCGGGCAAGTGCTGTTTTAGCGAGCACCTGTCATATCCTGCACGGAACACGAGGGTGTGGGTGGCCAGCACCACGCCGGGCTGCCTTTGTATCTCTCGTGGTGATCTTTGCACTCCAAGCACTCACTTGTATGCATGTATGTTGAGCTACTTTCGCACCGTACGTAGCCAATCGTGCTAATCTGAAGCCAAGCACCAGTTCAGATAATTATCATGGTGGTGAGATGTTAGCTACCTCGCCTGGTATACATGAGATTGTGGGTACGATCCCAACCCTGACGCCTGCTGTGCATTTAGAGTTTGCATGTTCTCCCGTGGTCGTGCGAATTTGTTTTCTCCGGGTCCTCCAATTATTTTTCCTGCAGCTTTAGAAACACGCGTTTAGAGTATTTGGCTGCTTTGAATGTCCACGTGATAAGCCACTTCGTTGAGCTCTCATTTGTGGCCAGGTGGCTAACTAAACAAGGACTTATACAGCGCAGTGGGTTCTAAAACAAATGTTTAACTTTATAGTTTAGTCACTGGTGTTGGCTGTGAACCGCGGCAATACACAAACACACACAAATCTTAACACACACAAGCCTAGGCAAGAAACACGCAGAAGGAAGTTATATTGCGTGCCATTTGATGCGTTGATTCTAGCCGGACACGCTGTCCTGTCGCGTCGAGTTGAAGGCAACTGGCAGAACTTTCCAACCCTGAGCTCCTCGACTGCCAAATGGAATCCGCTGTGCGAGACAAATCTTTTCCCATTCGATACTCCTATCGCACGCATCTGAAAATTGGCTAACACGCAGGACGGCCGTCCCCGCCATGCGCTGTGCGCTCTGCGGAGTGTGGGTCACCCCTGTGTGACTTTGCGCGGCTCACAGAGAACACTTAAGGCAGCCGTGTCGGAATTGTCGCGAACGCACATTTAGAGCCCTTTGTCAATCCACTGCTGGGATGACGGCATCCATGCGCCGGTTGGGACGGGGATGGCTTTCGGATCACGCTTTAACACCCCGCTGATTAGTGCGGGGAGCATAGACGTAGTGCAGTGTTCTTTGGTAATTTTCAGAGGAGGGACACTTTCCCCGATACGACATTATCAGTGGTGATGGCCGCTACACGTTTGAAACCATTGTTGGGTTTGACAGCAGCAGCACGATGATGATGATGGGGTGTGTGGTGTTCACGTGTTGTGTGTTGTCGGGGGCCGCACGTCAGGGGCCGCACTAAAGGCCACCAGGGGCCACCAGTGGCCCGCGTGCCTCACAATGAAGAACACTTCCGTAGAGGAACAGGAGTACAGTACAACACAACAATGGATTTTTTTTCCAGCAACGCCCTCGACTGCACGGCACTGCAGCCCGATGGCAACCTGTTTGTTCATGGTGGCCACAAACTGGAGCACTATCCCAGACTCAACGGCGCTTAGCATCCGAGATCTCACGCGAGGATCGGGCCTACTTGCAAGTGATGTGGTGAAATGCAGTGATGCCACCGGGCGCACGTCACAACTGTTCACCACATGGGTGAAAAAAAAACAGATTTTTCCAGCGGCAGGCATCGGGTTTTTTCTTTAATACAATTAAACCCGATTTCGGGGAATTAAAACCTGGTTTAATGAATACGAAACTCTGATCCAAGGCGTAGGCTGCTTCCTCGTCGGTGCTGCTATCGTACTCGGGGGGCCGTCGGGCGTGGGGTAGTCGTAGAATGCGGCGGGCAGGTTGGTCTTGATGAACACGAGCTTCTCCTCCACAATCGTGGGCGCCAGTGAGTTCCTTAGCTTGGAATGGATGAAGCCCATCGTTGAGAAGCCGGCGAAGTGCGGTTCTGCAATTAGAACCAATTACACCGGATTTCTCCCAATCTCAGATGATCGGGTTTTAATATAAAAAGACCATTAAACCCGATTGTAAAAAAATCCGACTGTGCCCCGCTTGGTTCACCACCTTCCTCGCCGATGAGCATAACCCATCATCACGCGAACTCGCGACTTCCTCGCAGCAACAGCGGCGGCTTTTGGTCATCCATCGAACAAAGACGGCGGTGACCGCATCACGTGCTTCCGGATGCGCTTCTGCGGCCGTCTGGAATGCTCCTTCCAAACGATATTAGGAAGTCGCTGAGGCTATGCACTTTACATTCGAGATTGGAAACGAATTCTAGATTTGAAGCTTTCGTGACTGCAGGGATTCATATTCTTAGGTTTTTTCGGTAAAGTCACGTAGGTAAAAAATTAAAATTGGAAGCGAACTTTGTGCAAATATCTTTGTTGAGTTTAGTCTGTCGCCCTTCTGCCGCGCCTCCGATGAGCACGGTTGGCGACGTACGGCGCGAAAGAAGTTCAACCGACCTCGAGTGTGACCTGGCAGAGAAAAAGATCGGTTCCGAATGACTCAGCCTCCCTTCTGTCTCTGAGTCACACTGACTTTAAGTGACGTCACACGTGCATGTGCATGCACAGCCCCCACTGTACCAATGCACTGCTGCATGAAGGTTTCCCGTGCAGTTTCGGTTTTTGGAGTGGTTTGACCATCGTCCTGGTTCTTTCGGTAAAGTCACGTAGAAGGGAAGTAATAAAATAATAAAAATAAAACATTATAAAATAATTCTCACGACGTTTCGGCCACAACGCAAGCAGCCGTCCTCGGGTGAAGACCAGGTCTGTCGGGGAGACAGCGTCTGAATGAAACACCACCACGCTTGGAGCGTATATTTAAACTGGGTTGGAAGGGGGGAAGTGCGCCTTGACAAAATAATTTGCATATCAAGAGGAATTGGACCATATTTCACCAAACTGATCAGCACATACTCTTGGGTTTTTTCGGTAAAGTTTTCGGTAAAAGTCACGAAAAACCTAAGAGTGTGAATTCTTGCAGTCACGAAAGCTTCAAATCTAGAATTGATCAGCACATGCTTGTGAAAGGGGTAAAGGGGGTGGGGGTCCGGTGACTGATGGAGATAGCACGCTCCGCTGACGTTAACCATGGCCGGGAGTCGAACTCCACATTGCCGGGTTCATTGCACAATAACAGCGTGACGCGCTAACTGCTGCGCCGCCTGTCAACCGCACTCCACCCGTAGCGCGCTCGGCAGTGGAGAATGATGGACGGACATACACGAAGGCATTCTAGATTTGAAGCTTTCGTGACTGCAAGGATTCATATTCTTAGGTTTTGTCGGTAAAGAGTAAAATAAAATAAAAATCACGACGTTTCGGAGGCAACACAAGCTTCCGTCTTTAGGTGGAATACGGAAGCTTGTGTTGCCTCCGAAACGTCGTGATTTTTACGTTATTTTTATTTTACTTTTATAAATTTTTAATTTTACCTACGTGACTTTACCGGAAAAAAAATCTAAGAATATACACTATGGCAGTCGAGGGCAGTGAGCAGGTTGAAATTGTGCTGTCGTCAATTCGGGTTTGCTGTGCGCTCGCAAAAACACCCCCCGCCGCACCCGTGA